AATTAACTTCTTAAAAGGTGAAAAAAAAATCAATTTTTTAAAAAAGTTTTTACTTTTGTTCAAAAAAATAATTTTTAAAAAAAAACTTTTTTGGGGAGGGTCTTTTCAAAAGGGGGTGTTTTTTGACGCCCAAATTTAATTTTTTTTTATTTACAATGAAAAACCTAAAAGTGTAAAAAAAAAATTTTTTTTAAAAGGGGGCCTTGGGGTTTTGGAAATGGCGGGGTTTCTTTTATAACTTTTAAAAATCTAGGGGGGACAATTAAGAGACAATCCATTCATCACCATTCATTATCAATGTGTCTAAAATTGTCTGTGTGAACTACTGTAATACACCGCTACTGCGCAACCACGGGAACCAACGTTCTACAACAACATAATCTACATTCTGGCAATGTTCCACAAATCAACAGTGTCATTCTTTATGGAATAAGGATACTTATACAGAGAGATTATTGAAACACTGCAATGAGAAGCACTGATAGAACATTTTTCTAGATACTAAGAATAGCAGTTTTATCAGACAAATAATTGGCAAATAAAATATCAAAGTAGCAGCGACTCCAATATAGTCTATCATCATCATTATTCATTATGTAATATATTAAGTAATATATGTTGACACTTATCAAGATATACGATATATCTGAGGTATCACATTAACCGTGAGATTAACTGATGTTAGTAGACTGTGGATTAAGATGGAACCACTAAGCTGCACACATTACTCAAAATAATGAGTTTAACAAACCTCAAATACCAAGTAACTATAAAATAAGTTTGAGATTACTGAGAATGTAATTATGTCTACACAACCCAATACAGCAACCTCAAACAAAATCTAATCAACGAACATGTATTGTAGCTCAAATGTAAGGTAGCTATAATCGAGATGTAGTTCCTTATTAAGGAATTAAATCCCAATTAATTATATTAACCTCCCACATATGATCAATAAAAACGTAATAAAGTACAATGGCTTAGCCAAGGCACGCATAATGGGGCATTTATATTTCTATCCTAAAGCATTAAGTGTAGACAGGACGAAGCAGATAAAACAGGGAACTATTCTCCGAACAATGAAGTGGTACTACCTGACTGTGGGACTATTCTACCGAGTACACTGTAGATTACCAGAGTAGTTAATTTACGCTGTCTAGACCTCTCATAAATCTGGTATTGAGTAAGGGAGGGTTAAGTCAGCTAAACACTGTATAGTGTAAACTAGAATACCAAAAAACACGTGATAAATTTATCTTAACGATCATTTTTTACCTGTCAGCAGATAGGTTCAAGGAATATTGAGCTAAAGAGAGTTTTCAGCTTAATTTAAGATTCATATGATCATTAACGATGCAAATCTAGAACCTTAAAAATTTCAAATAACAAACTTTTCCTCGAGAGGTCGCACTGGCCAGTAATTAAAACATACCTAAATATGGTCTAGACTTGGCACAAGACGTATCATTAGTCAACACACGAGCTGCTGAGCTCCATACTTCTTTCTGAAAGCTTCGCAGAGAAAACATCCAGCTACTAACCTAATATACTGACCTAATACTATTACTGATACAGGTAGTACTGGGGTCTGGGTAGTATTATAAGTACTATACTATACTACTACTTCTACTATACTACTAATACTTCTACTATACTATAGTGGGTGAATTAACTAAACACACAGATCAAGGATCGATCACAGCCATTAATTAATATCCGAGCGATTAAGCTCCTCTGATTAATTTAAGAGTTTCTGCGCGTTACCAGCCGTAGTAATCAGATGCTGTGTCAGAGGAAGAGAACTTTATCTTTGTCACGTCTCTGTTCCAGACAGTGCTCCAATCAGGGGGACCGCACGTTGATTGAGAGAGCAGTATGTTGAGCACCTCCTCGTCGTTACAGTGTATCACTAGTCTAACACCTGCAGTTCTGGTTAGAGTGATACGCCACACCTTGACAGTATCAGAGGGGAGATTAACAAGGTTGGTTTCTTCGCTGGAGCACCAGTCGAAGTAGTATTGTGGAGTAGGGCACTATCCGTCGCGGAGTCGAGTCCGCGGCGGAGCCGCCGGACTTCGAGCGGACTCCGGCGGAGCCGCCGGACTCCGAGCGGACTCCGGCGGTGCTCCGCCAAAATGTATTTACAGTGGACTCGAGTACATTTTGGCGGACTCCGAGCGGAGCCGAGCGGACTCCGAGCGGACTTTAAAGTCCGCCGCGGACTCCGAGCGGCTCCGCGGCGGCTCGGCGGAGTGTCCGCCGCGGACTAAGCCACTAGGCGGACTCCGGTCCGCCGCGGACTCCGGCGGAGTGCTTGGCGGACTCCGCCGGACCTCTCCGCCAGACTTGAATCCGGCGGAGTCCGGCGGAGCTTGGCGGAGTCCGCCAGCTCGGCGGACTCCGCTCGGAGTCCGCCGGACTCCAACAGAGTCCACTGACTTCCGACCTCCGTCTTCCGACCCTCGGCTAAATTTGTCACGTGACATACAACATAGCATTTTGCAATATTGTGGTCAGATGAAAAGGTCGCTAGTGATAAACCTTAACCATTACCCTCACAATGTCAATAGTGTACAACTCTAGTCCTAACTTTGACCCTATAATGTATAAACGTTGACCCTAACCCTCCACCAAACCGTCCGCAGCGAAATATTAATGTCATTGACTGGTCACGTGACCAAAACAATTTTTGTCATATTATCTCATATGGGGAAGCGTTTTTAGTTTTACCCTACACGTTGCATGTGGCGTCATTCGGCCGGATCCCAGCAAGCAAAAATACGTCGACCATCACAGGACGACGCCAGCCAGCACTCTCTACGCTCTTCGAGCTCCGATCGTCCTGTGACGAAGTAAGGACGAAGCCTGAGGTCCTCAGGTAACATCGACCACCGATTGAAAATTCAAAAATTTTTTGACATAAAGGTCAAATGTAAAACTAAAATCTTGATGTTGATTGATTGACGACGTCAATTTTTGAGCACAGCGCGAGCGCATATTGCGGAAAAGGACCGCGTAGCTAGTCAAGATGTTGATAAATATTTGGCTTGTGGCGCGATGTGTTGCTCTAACTATAGCCCTCTCGCTTGCAGTAGCGCGCGACCGCCGGAAATGACTTGTGGAACAAGCGCGCCCGCAGCGGCGCGAAAGCACCTGGTTAGCTAAATGAACGCGATGTGCCTTGCATTGTAGGATGAAATCCTACTAGCTGACGCCACTCGCAGCTGTGATGTTCGCTGTACGTCAGCGATCGTAATTTATACGCGTATCACCCGTTAAGATGTGCCACCCGACGCGCCACGCAATTTTTCTCGTTGCTCGTCGCACGTCGACGCCCTCATTAAATTTTTGGAGAAAATCGCTCGCCAAAATTTGTTGGACCAGGACGATGTCCTAGCCTGGCAGCTCATTGCGCGGCGCGTCGCAACGAGCTTCGTTGTTCGTCGACGTGCGACGAGCAACGAAAAAAATTGTGTGGCGCGTCGAGTGGCACATCTTAACGGGGGATACGCGTATAAATTTCGATCGCTGACGTACAGCGAGCAGCACAGCTGCGAATGGTGTCAGCTAGTAGGATTTCATCCTACAAGGCACATCGCGTTTACCTAGCTAACCAGGTCATTTCCGCCTCCGGCGGTCGCGCGCTACTGCAAGCGAGAGGGCTATAGTTAGAGCAAGTGCAACACATCGCGCCACAAGCCAAATATTTATCAACATCTTGACTAGCTACGCGGTCCTTTTCCGCAATATGCGCTCGCGCTGTGCTCAAAAATTGACGTCGTCAATCAATCAACATCAAGATTTTAGTTTTACATTTGACCTTTATGTCAAAAAATTTTTGAATTTTCAATCGGTGGTCGATGTTACCTGAGGACCTCAGGCTTCGTCCTTACTTCGTCACAGGACGATCGGAGCTCGAAGAGCGTAAAGAGTGCTGGCTGGCGTCGTCCTGTGATGGTCGACGTATTTTTGCTTGCTAAAAACGCTTCCCCATATGAGATAATATGACAAAAATTGTTTTGGTCACGTGACCAGTCAATGACATTGATATTTCGCTGCGGACGGTTTGGTGGAGGGTTAGGGTCAACGTTTATACATTATAGGGTCAAAGTTAGGACTAGAGTTGTACACTATTGACATTGTGAGGGTAATGGTTAAGGTTTATCACTAGCGACCTTTTCATCTGACCACAATATTGCAAAATGCTATGTTGTATGTTACGTGACAAATTTAGCCGAGGGTCGGAAGACGGAGGTCGGAAGTCAGTGGACTCTGTTGGAGTCCGGCGGACTCCGAGCGGAGTCCGCCGAGCTGGCGGAGTCCGCCAAGCTCCGCCGGACTCCGCCGGATTCAAGTCTGGCGGAGAGGTCCGGCGGAGTCCGCCAAGCACTCCGCCGGAGTCCGCGGCGGACCGGAGTCCGCCTAGTGGCTTAGTCCGCGGCGGACACTCCGCCGAGCCGCCGCGGAGCCGCTCGGAGTCCGCGGCGGACTTTAAAGTCCGCTCGGAGTCCGCTCGGCTCCGCTCGGAGTCCGCCAAAATGTACTCGAGTCCACTGTAAATACATTTTGGCGGAGCACCGCCGGAGTCCGCTCGGAGTCCGGCGGCTCCACCGGAGTCCGCTCGGAGTCCGCCCGGAGTCCGGCGGCTCCGCCGCGGACTCGACTCCGCGACGGATAGTGCCTGGAGTGGCGTAGAAGTAGAGCTGGACTAGCCCTGCATTCTCTCCCTCAGCAGATAAGAAGTACACTAGCACCTCATCGTCACTCCCCAGCAGACTATCCGTCCTAATTTCTAAAGGTGTCGACTCAAGATCCCACTCTATTTCCACGTCATGTTCGACTGGTAACCCACCTGGTAATTGTATGTTTAACTCATGACTACTGAGCAACGATTAATGAATATCATGAATTTAAAGAAAAGATGTTCTAGCAAAACTGTAAAGGAATTGTAAGAATGTCGCCCATAGTTTATTCCCAGAGTTTAAGGGCCCGACCATACTATGACTGTTGACTCCATGACTGTTGTCATGGTGCGGTCAGATGTAATGACCATAGGTACGTATAGTGTGTTTATAGGGCGTGCCAAGGATACGTGACAACTCCTCAGGCACGTCGCGAGCGGCTTTTCACTTTTCAAAAGCCGTGCCTAGCCAAAAATCCATGCCTGACGTGACTGCAGGCACAGTCTATTCAGTACTCGTGCCAACTGTCATGGATAACGTGACGTCACGATTACCTTATAAGTTCTATATTTTGCGTGATATGGACATTGGCAGTGCAGAGTGCAAAGATAGTATTAAAGTACAGCTACAGATCGTCTGAAAAATCGATCTACCGACACAAAAAGCTTTCAAAGGATTTATGACGTTATTAGGCTGACTAACTTTCCAAAATTTTCCACATGTCTTAAGGCCACTTTTTGTTACTTTTGCCACTTTTTACCACCTTTCTTGTTTGTCAAATATCTTCAGCTGTGAACATCGTAGAAGGTTACAAATTAATCGAGGGTGTTTATCTTATCGACGAGAAATTTTTGTCCGAAAAATGTTCACGTCAGACAATCAGATAATTTGATAATTACTAATTACCAAAAATCATAAAAATGTTTATTGGCTCGAGAATTTTTCGAAAATTTTTCACTTATACATTTTTTGAGACTTTACAAAATTTTGAAAATTTGAAAATATAGTTTTTATAAGTTTTTTCGAAGCTCAGACCATTGTTTGGATGACGAACCGCATCATACCGAATTGGTCCCCATTGGGAATCAAACCCCAGTCGTCCGCGTGAGAAGCAAATGTATTAAAACCACTAAACCACCCGGCCGACGTGACAGCACTCACTTTTTACTATTTTTATCCCAATTGTCATAATATGTTTACTTGATATCTCAATCATTAGAGTAAAGCTAGAGCTCACTTTCTTCTCAGGAAAACTGTAATTTGAAAGGCCAATCACTATGCACTATAATTTGACTTGATCCAATTATTTCGAATAAGTAATAACTAAAATATGCGATATTGAACGTTGATTCGAAAAAAATTAAAATAATTTTAATTAAATTTGATGTAGACGCCGATAAAGTTGTGACAGTAAGTCGTTTTCATAAAAAGTGGGGAAATTTGGCTTTCATGAATACCAACTAGTAATTACTAATTTTAAAACATCTCCAGTTGTGAGGATGGTATGAGGTTTCATTTTTATTTTAATCGAAAAATTTGTTGCTACTTGGACGATAAGCAAATTAATCAATTAGCTTATTATTCAATCAGTAGTTGTACTTTTAAAGCCCTTAGTAATCGATTAGTAAGTGATATCAGAATAAGTATTTAAATAATAAATCAATTGTTAACTGAAACGTTCGGGTGGTAACGTTTAGCCTCCCGTGTCCATAATTATAATATGACTAGTAAAGATTTTACCATATAAAATTTTACCTTTGACTGATGACCACAGTAGTGTCGTCAAAATGATGATCGTTATCGTCATGACGTTTTACCACTCACTCACAACTTGATAAAAATGAAACAACTAATATGTTATAATTATTTATCATTAATAATGTACTTATTATTTTACACACTAGTATAAGAATAATAAAAAGTTATGTTTAATCATTTATATCAGGGAAATCTTAACATATTTCTGGAAATTTTAGTATATTTTAAGTCGATTCTCCTGTTCAATTTCGGGTCTATGATCTTCAAACTAGTGCAGAATCAAGCAAGTTATGGTAGTCCTCATAATTCTGCGGCCTCTATGTATCGTAATCTCGCACAACTCCGAAAAACCGTTGTGAGTTTGGCATGTGAAAATTTGCAGCCTTCCAGACATCGATTGGGTTAACGAAGTGTCGTACGTCACCTCAAGATCGGGTGACAGGGGGCTGAACAGGCCAGAACCCAATTGATTGGGTCTGAGGTCACGTGACTATGAGCCTGAGGTCACGTGACTATGACGTCACCAGAGCTTGCTCTCCGAACTCGAGCTTCTCGATCAGGCCTTATATGGAATAATATAGTGTACCGTGTGTAATTGGATCCAATTATAGGAGCTGCGCAATTATTGCTGCATATTGATCATATATCACCTTCTGAAACCCAACAGGCAGAGCTAGCTAGGCCAGAGATTTGAAAATAGAAGGATTTTTTGTTAATGAATATAGTAGCGAAAATCATGTAACCCTATGTTTTAGTGGACGCAAAACACGATAAAACTGGTTATAATTATCATACTCAAGGGCAAATTGCTTAAAAATGGACTTGAATGTCATAAATGTTATTATAAGCTAAGCACCTGAGCGGCTTATCGGGTGGCACCAGTCTCTATGCCGAATCTCAGTTATTGTAAACAACGACGCCACTAATTCTCAGCTAATAATCAGGCTTATGATGGAAAGATCTCAAGTTCAGAAGACGAAAGAAATTTATCCAAATATTTGCTTAAGATTAACGAATAAGGATTTCAACCAATATCGAAAAAGACTACCAAGGATTGTATCGGGACTTCTATATCGGTATTTCAAGTCTTCATAGCGGTTTCAGGATGAACTAACGGGATTTTAGGATTGGGTTAGGGCTCTGTTATGAGAATGGTCCCCTTCCGTTGTACACTACTCAGTACCTTCTGCCTTAAATTTAAAGTTAACCTTACCTTTTACCTAGCATATGTAGTTAATATTACCTTGTATCTTACAATTAGAGTTAACCTTACCTTTTACCAAGCATATTTAGTTAATATTACCTTGTATCTTACAAATACAGGGTGGGCCAAAAGTCAGTGTGCAAACGTTGGGTCTTATACCTCCGCCGTGTTTTATATTTGAGAGCTATTGCTTTGCAGATGGCATACTGTACTTACTGGTTCGAGGATTCCGTCGTCAAAATTTGAAAAGTCGAATATTTTAGACCACGCCCATTCAAGATTAAAACACCTATATTGTTTTCTCTGAACATGCTGAACGCCTAATTTTTTCAGAGACGGTAGATTATCAAATGTTGCATATGATCTGAAAACATGAGGCAAAACGGATTAGAAATGACGAAGTTATCAAGCATTTTGTGTATCTCGTTAACAAAATTGACTGGGTGATTATGTGACACCGTGACACGACACCTTAATTGGGCACCCTTAACAATTCCCATAATGTTTAACGGGGTAGTTAACGGGGTCACCTGATCACGTGATTAGAAAAAACCAATCACCTGATCACACGTAATGAATAAACTCGTTATGCTTCATATCTCGGTCATCTGAGAAGCTACAGTTCTAATTCTTTCAGGACAAACGTAATTCGAATGGCCAAACACAATTCAATAACATTTAGCTTGATCCGACTATCCTAACTATCAAATAAATGTGAAAATGAACCTCCATTTGAAAAAAATGAACGCGAATATTTTTCGAGTTGACAAATTCCTCGAACCAGTGGTGGTACTAAGTCATACCATAAGGAAGTATTTCAATTGGGCACTCAGTGACTGAGCTATTAAGGCCAACGTTTGCACACTGACTTTTGGCCCACCCTGTACAATTAGAGTTAACCTTACCTTTTACCTAGCATAAAGTTAATATTGATACCGCGACAATTGACCTCCCGATAATTGACCCCCGACAATTGACCCCCGACAATTGACCCCCGACAATTGACCCCCGACAATTGACCCCCGACAATTGACTCCCATTTAATTACACGGGGGTCAATTGATCGGGTCAGGGTCAGGGTCCGGGTCAGGGTCAGGGTCAGGGTCAGGGTCAGGGTCAGGGTCAGGGTCAGGGTCAGGGTCAGGGTCAGGGTCAGGGTCAGGGTCAGGGTCAGGGTCAGGGTCAGGGTCAGGGTCAGGGTCAGGGTCAGGGTCAGGGTCAGGGTCAGGGTCAGGGTCAGGGTCAGGGTCAGGGTCAGGGTCAGGGTCAGGGTCAGGGTCAGGGTCAGGGTCAGGGTCAGGGTCAGGGTCAGGGTCAGGGTCAGGGTCAGGGTCAGGGTCAGGGTCAGGGTCAGGGTCAGGGTCAGGGTCAGGGTCAGGGTCAGGGTCAGGGTCAGGGTCAGGGTCAGGGTCAGGGTCAGGGTGTCAGGGTCAGGGTCAGGGTCAGGGTCAGGGTCAGGGTGTCAGGGTCAGGGTCAGGGTCAGGGTCAGGGTCAGGGTCAGGGTCAGGGTCAGGGTCAGGGTCAGGGTCAGGGTCAGGGTCAGGGTCAGGGTCAGGGTCAGGGTCAGGGTCAGGGTCAGGGTCAGGGTCAGGGTCAGGGTCAGGGTCAGGGTCAGGGTCAGGGTCAGGGTCAGGGTCAGGGTCAGGGTCAGGGTCAGGGTCAGGGTCAGGGTCAGGGTCAGGGTCAGGGTCAGGGTCAGGGTCAGGGTCAGGGTCAGGGTCAGGGTCAGGGTCAGGGTCAGGGTCAGGGTCAGGGTCAGGGTCAGGGTCAGGGTCAGGGTCAGGGTCAGGGTCAGGGTCAGGGTCAGGGTCAGGGTCAGGGTCAGGGTCAGGGTCAGGGTCAGGGTCAGGGTCAGGGTCAGGGTCAGGGTCATGGTCAGGGTCAGGGTCAGGGTCAGGGTCAGGGTCAGGGTCAGGGTCAGGGTCAGGGTCAGGGTCAGGGTCAGAAGCTGGGTCAAATGCTTTTGTGGCTTTATTATCAGCATAAAGAAATAAGAATTTGGCCACGGAATAACATCTTTAGGTCCCGAAATTTGGACCCCCAAGTGACGTGTCAATTGTAATAGAGTAATAGGGGCATCTGTACTCGGCAATAAAGATTCAATAAACATCTGAACATCAGCTAATTGGACACTATACTGAGGTATCGACTAGGTATCGACGCGAAAGCAACCCAAAGAGATTTTTGCAGTGCATGTGATTGATATAATTAATTGAAACTTATTACAATTCGAAAGTCGTGAATGAAAGGGAAAAGCGAGCGACCGATTTCATTCCTGGTATCATTTTGCATTTGCGGACGGTTATTAAAAATCAAATTAATATCATTTACTTTTGTTTGGGAAAGAGAGACACTGGCAGCGGTCCACCCTACCCATGATTATGGGTTTTGGTCAAATTTATAAACAGAC